TCCTGAGTGTATTCTGCATATGGGCTAGAATCCAATACCCATCATGACAATAAAAGTGTTTTAGTAATTGACATTTGAAAATAGCATCAACATCAGAGATGTGCAAAATGACACCAGCAGGTTATTTAACTGACTAAGGTAGGAACTTTGCAAAATCAACATGAATGGAACAACTGATTGAGGTTGTTGGGAACAGTGACGGTGATACAGTCTTCCAGCTGCTGGGAGGAAGGATCTGTGATAACGCTCCCTGGTGCATTTAGGGTGCAGCAGTCTGTCACTGAAGGAGCTGTCCAGTTCAGCACCACCTTCATGCATGTGGGGGAGACATTATCCAACAGAGATGATCATTTAGTTAGGATTCTTTTGTTTCCCACCTCCTGCACTGAGTCCAGAGGGCATCCAATCATAGAGCTGGCCTTCCTGATCAACTGATCCAGACGCTTCCTCTCAGCTACAGATAAGCCACTGCTCCAACAGACAGCTCTATAAAAGATGGCTGATGCCACAAGAGGGTCATAGAAGGTCTTTAGGAGCGCCTCAGTCTCCTCTGCAGGAAGAGTCTGCTCTGACCTTTCTGATCCAGAGCCTCAGTGTTGGGAGTCCAGCCCAGTTTGTTATTCAGATAACCAGTTAAGTACCTGTTTGTAGATCAGGTTCTTAGTTCATTCTTGTTTTTTTGAATATTTAGTATTTTCTCTGAAAGGTTTCTTCTAAGTGTTTCTGTGTCTTTCTGTTCAGATACTTTCACTATTGTTTTTTGCTCATCTCCATTTGCTTTCTATGGTCTCGATGTGCCTGAATGTTTCTGCCATAAAGCTCCCAGGTTGTGTTTTCCTCCCTGTTCTTTGTCTCTTGTCCAGATTTCTTGTACCTGTAGTAAATTTCTTATTATCTTATAAAATCATTTAATTTATAGTTTGCCATCCGCATTCCCTTCTACAATTTGCAACAGCCCCCCCTTATTCATCACATTAACGACCTCTACAACTTATACATTATAAAAGACACAATGTGAAACATTTTCTAGAAGTTATTTCTATTTTTAGGTTTGGGGCTTTTTAGCAATACCAGTTAATCAGGATTGAAAAAGATGGGGTTTATTCCACGAATAAACTAACTAGCAAGTAACAGAGGCAGCAACCTTTAAATTTTAGTTAACTAGTTAAAGATATTGAAAAATCGGCATGTTTGATCTTATCTTCATTTAACAAAAAAGTTGACAATGTTACACGGCTTACACTTTTTGTTAGAAAAAACCTGCAAAGATTTCTGCTTCTTGCTGCTGGTTTAAGTAATTCCCTCTGGGATTATTAAAGTATGTCTGATTCTGAACTGAGTCTGATTTGCTAAACATTCTGATGTTCACATTAAACTCTGCTCAGCATCATTTCTCATGTTGAACCTCGGCATTAGAATATGTATGCTCATGGTCCATTGAAAGACAGCTCGGAAAAAAGAGTTACTGCACACTGCACACCCTTTAAAATAAATACGTGTTAATTTCATGTACAAAGTAGCAAATTTGCTAAGCAAATAGCAAATGTCAGTGTTCTTATGTTCTTTCAATATTTAAGGAAAGTTTTTCAAAACTTCCAGTAATGCAAGAGCTGTAAAAGCTAGAATAGTGTGGGTTATATTTGTCCTTAACTGAAATTTTTGTAAATAGAATGTGGGACAAAAAAAAAATGCCTCGCAGCAGCTGCAAACTGATTAGAAATGTAAATGTAGGTTCAAGTATAAACGTGTTCATTCAAGCCTCATTTTCCTTATTTTAAACAGAAAACATATTAGCTTAGCATCA